CTTCACTTCGTGTAAAAATAACCCGCAGAAGCAATACGAGAATTGGAATATCTCGGAAACAGTTCTGATGGCGAAAGAGATTAGGAAAATAAAGGAAAAATATATAGATCACGCGCATTCCATTCCATAGCTTAGTCAGGATTGATGCTAAACATATTACGCTAATTCACTATCAACAAGTCATTACAAAGAACTAAATATTGAAGGAATGCGTCTACAAATAAACAGTCTCCGCCAGCAATGTTCTTTATTTCTCTTTTCCTTTCTTATGTATATACGTTCGTCATTTATTAATGTCGACTATTACTCACCGCAGACCACAAATATAACTACTGAACGTGAAGGAATGAATGCGGCGATCAGTAGGCTATATTTTCTTCCCATAAAATTATTTCTTCAGACATACGGGCTTGGGCTTGTTTGTCATGTCGATAATTCCTTCCATATTACCGATAAGCAAAACGTGATAAATGTAGGGATGAGGTCGGGATATCCATTTGGACTTGAGAATGAGAAAAGTTACTCCCGGCTACCTTCGAAGCCTTCATCACGGACTGAGACACCTACGGGCAAAATTCCTCGAGCGATAAAGTATGTTTTCAGATTGGATAAAACTTAAAACGTTTAATAAATCGTACTGAACATAGGCTATTAATAACACCAGAGCCAGGACAACATTAACTGGCTGTGGGCTGGAAGCCTCGAGTCAGGTTCGCGGACGGGAGACGAATTTTCCGGGAGCCTCAAGCTGACCAGTGTCCACCAACTACTATCGAGAATAATATTACATGAAGTAACCCCTCGACTCCACTGAAACCCCACACCTTCATAGCCCTCACTGACGACAACTCGGAACTTCAATAACTACGATCCGCCTATCTTATTTGAGAGAAGGCGGAGCTTCGGATGAATTGTGTTCCCAGCACCTCAACAATTTAAACATCACTTTAGCTATGACGGTAACCTAAAGACACAGTAGGATTTTCTCACTCTCTGATGCGTATCTTCAAACAGGCCAGAAGCGCTTCCTTCTACTTCCGTTCTTATTCATCAGTCAGTCATTCATTCATCTCTTCACAAACATTACGTAGTGTCACTTGTCTCTATGTAATATTTGCAAATAAAAGAAGTGTCGTTAAATAACTCAAGACACGGTCGACTACGATAGCAGAACAAGCTACGGTAAAGAAGAGAAGCTAAGTTGTCCTTACACCTTGAACAAGGTAACGCATTCAAGACCTCGATATTACAGACGGACAATCAGCTTTAAGCTCCAGCCAATTTACCTCCTGGTAAAGAACTAACGGAACCAGTTCGACAGGAGAATGGGGAAAGCAGTGGCGAACAGAAGAAAACAGAATCGAACCCTGGTCATTTAGCTATTAACCGGCCACTTTATGGACAGATCAACTGCCTCACCCTCTAGACCAGAGTCACGCAAAACTTTTTCACCTGCGGCAAACCCTAATTTATCTAAGACACTTGACGGCACACCACAAAATTTCGCCTCACGATAAGGGACAACGAAACTATACAAAGTCATATATATGTATCTATACATATAAATCCTTGCCCTACGAGAACACAGGCGTGCGAAGAGAAAACATAACGCATGTTGAATAAAACTATCGATGATGAACCAACGCGCGCGTGTTTTTTGCAAATTCTTACTGCGACAAATACGTTACTATGTAAGATTTGAGGTTTTCACATCGGTGAGTATGAAGATTTCTGTCTTCTGCCTCCGTCATCATCATCGCCCTGATCACGGAGGCAGTATGACCTCTGAAACGATAGTAAACATCTACCAGACTAGGGTAAAGTTGCCTATTTTCGTGATATCCCAAATTCCGTGATACATTTTTAAGAGAAGTATTAGGGAGTTAAGGACCATGTAGGAATGTTCAGTTTCCTCTCATAAATATGGTGCAAGATTTACCGTTTGAATGGCATGTCTTATACGTATCACGCTGCTATGGCATGAAAAGTAACTAACTGAACAAGACTTTCATCAGAAGAGCGTGTGATCGCCACGTTTGTTTGTGTCGTGTGCTTGCAGTTCGGAAAACTTCTAAATTAAAGAGATAAATATATTTACATCTACTCAAAAACTATGATGTGTTGTGCAGCGATCTGATTTATATAGGACTTTTGACTCTCAGCTTCGTCTCGAGGGGTCTAGGACCTTTCCAGTTTTGCTATTTATTTTCAATTTTGTATGTTGTGCACCATGGCGTCAGAGACACAGGTCTCTGTAAAAATACTATAGGCCGTATATTTGAGTTAAATATGTTTTCTCTCGTTAGTATGCGACTTTCTGACCCTTTCCCCAACATTTTTATACAAAAGTTGTACACTTCTACCAATATTTGCTAACGTTTTTGTAAGCGAACGAAAGGTGTTTAAATTTATTTAATTTATTTTCAATCTGTTGTGAAATGGACAAGAAAAACAATAAACCTATTAAAGTTGCAGAAACTAAGCATGTGTCCTCCAAGGAGTATGATAGTAGAACATTGGAAGTAGCTGTAAGGAAAGTTTCACAGGAAGACTATGACTGCCTGGGGAAAGTCCTTGATGAACATGATCTGAGGAACTGCCCTGACAGAATCTCGAATTGTGACGAAGCGGGGCTTATGTTTTTAACCTATGGATCCAAAATAGTTACAAGCGTTGGTAATAAATATTTTTGTCGACGTGTATATTTAAAAAAAATAACGCAAAATAAAATATATCACGGAAATAGGCAACTTTACCCTACACAGCGCAACAACCCAGAAGACAGAAATGTTCTAAATACCTTACTGCCTCTTTCCAACTGTAAAGTTCGAATATACAATTTCTTTTGCAAATTCGCAGCACGCCTCAAGCTTTGTGGCGGAACACCAGTTGGGAAACACTGGTCTTGACAAGGATTATGTCAAAGCACGTGTGGGAAGCCTCGTCACAACACCCGCCCCGCCCATGATCTCCCCCGCATGCCCCTCCTGATCCGAATAAGGAAAGCTGGTTTGCCTAAATAGCGGTTTCGGGGAGCAGTTAATTGCTTAACTTTCCAAAGTTTCACCTAAACACTGTACGAACTAAGGGGGCCAATGCACAACGAAACTATTTCCTTCAGGGCAGCATTTCGAGGCGCGTTTACGGACAGCCCCATTCGATTATTTGACCAGTCATATTAAAATAAATAATTTATGTAATCTTTCAAGAAGCTGTCTTCTGAGTTGACACTACACACACAGAAAATATTTTCCTCGTATTTTCCTAAAGTGTTCATAATAAGGAAAGTTGTAGACCTGACTGAGATTTAACTTAAATACCTGTTTTTGTGACAGTAACAAATTTTGTACGAGTCTCTTAAGAAATATTAGGCCCAAGTAAAGTCAAAGTTGAGCTGTAAACCAGAACTTACAGCCTATTGAAATACACACACAATGTGAAAAATGCTTATGGTATGACGACAGAACAACGATAAACATGTTTTATATAGAAGAGTGAGGTCAAATCTGAATACCTTTAAATTGTGGAAATACAGGCCTACATCTGTTCAATTAAAATTACGTGAGTGCTATTTTAAAATTTCTCACAGCTCCTTTATAAGTAATAAAATTAGGTCAAGAAGGAATTAAGAGTCTAAGTTCTTCTCATAGCCCCTTGCTTCTTAAATAAGCACGTTCTCTTTCTCTTCCACCATTCCGCACTCAACTCACGAATCAAGTTAAAGCAGGCGCCTCAAACTTGGGCTACAATATAATAAACCAACATTACGACCAGACTTTACACAGACCGACGACAGCGCTGATGCTGTAGGACTCAAGTTCCATTAGCGTTATGAGAAAACCATTAAGAAGTCCAGTCATTGGTCTGACAGCCGTTATGTAAGTCTATTCGTAAGAAAACATCGTACGAATACCAGCTACAAAGAAGACGGTTAGCTTAATACAATGCTCCCAGGAACGGCAAAGAATTAAACTATACGACACAGACTTCACATTTTATCCATCGTGGAAGAGATGCAAGACTACAGGCCCTAAGGAGAATAAAATATTACAGAATACCTACTTAAAGGGAGAATAATTGGTGAAAGACCAAGAAAGAGATGAACGAACATAAATGTGTTTTTAAGAAATTAAACTCGCGGGAATGCGGTAAAGAATAAGATTTAAGACAAGACTGGTCCTTTCTGCTTGATTACACGATCTGCTGTCAAAAAGACGCTGATACATGTAACTCTAAGTTGCGTAGTTACGGGAACGGCGTTAGAAACATCACAGACCGTTTAAACCATACAATATAACCAGTCGGTTTAGATACGGACGGAAGAACTGACAGTCGTAAATTACAGCATGGCCGTTGGACATGTGATAAGAATTGATTATGTATATTCTGTAACGTCACAATTCTTTTCTTAAAGACTATTACTGAATGTCTTAAAATCTTTCTCCTTTGCCCATTTATTCATCAGAAACGAACTGGTTTATGAATGAGATACACATATGCAAAGACCTTAATATCAACGGCCGGGAACAATTACAATTTATAACGCTACTCCTCGATACATAAACATTTTAAGAAACATGATGTAACCCGAAATTAACAGCGTTTCCTAGTTGTAAACAGTTTGACTTCTGCAGTTCACAGACACTACCAGACTTTAGTTTTTACATTCGATTAACATCGAGAAACGTTAATACTGAAATTGGGTCTGATTGGCCCAATAATGAAACTCGTGCATAATACAACTGAACTTTTTTATTGTTTTGCTTAACTTACGTAACACTTCAAGGAACAATAAAAACAGGAGCTAAGGAATGATTTACGTAATGTTAATCCCAAAATTCAACCGCTTTTGTCGTATAACCGGAAGTCACAAGACTCAACTCGCACGAAACACAACTTTATCAATAGACGTCGCTAGCAGAAACGCAATTTAAACCACAATTATATAATTCGAAATAAGTGGAATTAATTGCAACGCTTAGTTACTACATTACAGTTACCTTATTGTATCCCTCAGAAAAGTTGAACTCGTATTACGCTTGTAGCTCCATCTCCTCAGTAATCAGGTACGGTTTCTACGCTTCGCCTCGTAGCATCAGCATCAGTGATGATGGACCTACAAATAAACAAACAAAATTTAGACAAACCTTCCAAATCATTAACTAATCGTCATTTATAAACATGTTCATCCCAATCAACACTGTACGTCAGTAACGTCCCCGAAGGGACATGGACACTGGCTCGAAGCAGTCTATGCCGTTCCCCTTTTTGAAATCTCTAAGTGTACAAGAAAGAAACTTTATTCACTATATATATAGACATACACTATATCGTTTCTTCGGTTCGTTCGCAATGGAAAAATTGGCCTATTAGCTTCGCCATATCTGCCTGTCCGCCCGTCCGTCAGCATGCAAAAACTCGAGAATAACAGAAAACATTTGCGTCAAATCGTATAAGTCTATCCGGAAGCTTTACTAAAATCTGTCGACACGTTCCATTTTTGGTTAAAATCAGACAGTAAACGACACTTTTCTCGAGGAAAAGCCGCAACTTTCCTTCGGCACCTGAAAATAAACGAACAAACACAGACAACCGTGAAAGGGGGAGACCAAAATTACAGTTATTGTAAGGATTTTACAAAGCTGCACTGAGAAGACGCCTGGATTGTTCAAAAGACACGATTGTGAGACGGCAGTCTTTGATAGTGACAGCATGGGGACACCAATGTCGGCCTGACGTTTTCCAAATGCGTTCTTTGAGGCTTTGCGTAAGTTGCCTTATTTACCTCAGGTGTCCATGCTGACACTGCTGCAAAGCCAATCACAACGCAGACCTATCTCCCCGCGTAGTCATAAATCACTGAAGAATTCTGTCTTCTGGGTTGTTGCGCTGTGGAGTCTGGTCGATGTTAACCAACGTTTCTGAGGTCATACTGCCTCCGTCATCAGGACGATGAGGATGAAGATTTCTGTCTTCTGGGTTGTTGCGCTGTGGAGTCTGGTCGATGTTAACCAACGTTTCTGAGGTCATACTGCCTCCGTCATCAGGACGATGAGGATGAAGATTTCTGTCTTCTGGGTTGTTGCGCTGTGGAGTCTGGTCGATGTTAACCAACGTTTCTGAGGTCATACTGCCTCCGTCATCAGGACGATGAGGATGAAGATTTCTGTCTTCTGGGTTGTTGCGCTGTGGAGTCTGGTCGATGTTAACCAACGTTTCTGAGGTCATACTGCCTCCGTCATCAGGACGATGAGGATGAAGATTTCTGTCTTCTGGGTTGTTGCGCTGTGGAGTCTGGTCGATGTTAACCAACGTTTCTGAGGTCATACTGCCTCCGTCATCAGGACGATGAGGATGAAGATTTCTGTCTTCTGGGTTGTTGCGCTGTGGAGTCTGGTCGATGTTAACCAACGTTTCTGAGGTCATACTGCCTCCGTCATCAGGACGATGAGGATGAAGATTTCTGTCTTCTGGGTTGTTGCGCTGTGGAGTCTGGTCGATGTTAACCAACGTTTCTGAGGTCATACTGCCTCCGTCATCAGGACGATGAGGATGAAGATTTCTGTCTTCTGGGTTGTTGCGCTGTGGAGTCTGGTCGATGTTAACCAACGTTTCTGAGGTCATACTGCCTCCGTCATCAGGACGATGAGGATGAAGATTTCTGTCTTCTGGGTTGTTGCGCTGTGGAGTCTGGTCGATGTTAACCAACGTTTCTGAGGTCATACTGCCTCCGTCATCAGGACGATGAGGATGAAGATTTCTGTCTTCTGGGTTGTTGCGCTGTGGAGTCTGGTCGATGTTAACCAACGTTTCTGAGGTCATACTGCCTCCGTCATCAGGACGATGAGGATGAAGATTTCTGTCTTCTGGGTTGTTGCGCTGTGGAGTCTGGTCGATGTTAACCAACGTTTCTGAGGTCATACTGCCTCCGTCATCAGGACGATGAGGATGAAGATTTCTGTCTTCTGGGTTGTTGCGCTGTGGAGTCTGGTCGATGTTAACCAACGTTTCTGAGGTCATACTGCCTCCGTCATCAGGACGATGAGGATGAAGATTTCTGTCTTCTGGGTTGTTGCGCTGTGGAGTCTGGTCGATGTTAACCAACGTTTCTGAGGTCATACTGCCTCCGTCTTCAGGGCTGAAGTGGCTACGCTAATAAATGAAGAAATGGAGAAAGTGTCTCCAAAAAGTTAGTATCTACTTCGAGTCTACATGGCGCCACAATTCAGAACATCACCGTTTAAGAACATTAAATATCATTAATTTTACAGTAGATCAAAACTACGTGTAAAGCAATTAAACGTAAATGAAAGGTTACAAACAACTATTTCCGCAATGGTTAAACATTTTTGGGGTTATTTAGAAGGAGCTATTTCAACTGCTGAGGTTCCTGTAATATGGAATGAGATGGGAAGATGACAATAAATGAATGATAAGTAAGTGACGAATTTTATGAGAGGGCCGCGATAAATTTCAAGGCACTATGCCAATATTCGCGTCTCAGAACAGATACCAACCAGACGGGAACTTTCTAAATACAGAAGTCATGAGCGTTATAACTACATCAGCTGGTAAGGCGATTAGGTTACATCTCTGCACCCCTAACTACATATGCGTATGATTTTCCCAAGACCGTGACGGACCTGGAAGGATAATATTGGCTTGCAATCGATTTGCGGAAGGAAGGTTGCGAAGTCGATAAGATTGAAGTAGATCAGGAAAGGGACCAATGGCGGCCATCTATTTTTAACAGTTGAACCTTCCATTCTATTATCATACATTTATTTGGATGCAGTTGCAAATCAATATCCATCAATTCATAATTCTATCAGTAACGTACAGAGGAGAGGAGAGAAGAGAATTTATACAAATCAAGATGGCCACAAATCTGTCAGATAAACCAGAGATAAGTAAAGTCTGCTGATGTAGGCCTACTGTTATTGTTCATCCCACTAAGCTCCCAGTGCCCTGCTGCTAAACCGATAACTGTGAAGGGGATGGAAGGGTTATGGAGGGTGAGACAAGTTAGTAGGGGTGGGAATGTAAGGGCTGAAATATTAGAAGGCAGGTGTGGTGTGGTGACACGACCATAAGCCACTCCCATTTTGTTAAAAAAACAAGTAATTTCCAATACCATTTACTATAAATATGTTATTTCACGGGCGTATTCCAGCACAGTGCAAATTTTTTTTTACAAATGTGCTCTCTACTAAGAGTAATTTCAGGTTCTCATGGCAGCGAGTAGAAGATGTTAGTCTTCCAGGATGCTGCACCGTGTAGCCTCGTAGAAATTGTCCTAAGCTCAGAGATGCTTACTACTGCCTCCATCATCAGGACGATATGCACCTCTGAAACTTCAATCAGTTTCTACAGGATTAAACAACGCAACATTTCAGAAGACAGCTATCTCAGTGCTGTAACAGGACCGACTTGACACTGTATTCAGACATCAATTAATAAAGAATACAGGTACAAAACATCGAAATTACTTCGTACGAGAATTAGTGACGTATAATGTAAGCTTCTGACAACGCCTGGCTGGCTGCAACTGGCTAACGACGCTTTGTATCTGATCGGTTCTGCTGTGTTCTAATGCGCTGGGTACCATTGAATCACTAAAGTAAGACATCAGACTTTCTGTTTTTCGTTTTCCAGTGTCAGTTGGGCCAACACGGCTGCCACCATTACGCTCCGCCCGTGTTTTTCCCCAAAACCGGAATCGGAATACGCAGAAACCCTCACTGAATCTGGTATTTGGGGGGGTTGGGGCAGTTCTTCCCGATCTGGATGGAAAAAATGTAAGGAATGTGGCGACAGCAGCAATCATTCCCCGCCCTTCAGCTATCATGCCCGAAAGTTGCTGCTACGACCCGCGTAACGTAGTTGTATCTAGAATAGACAAGCTACAGGACACTGCTTGTGGCAATTACCGAAAAGCAAGATGGACGCCGGTGGACTCCACATGCAAGTACAGTAGACCTGCTCCAGCAAATCACGCAATCACGCAATAAACGCACCCTAGCGGACGAACAACAGACATGGAGGAAATCTTGACAATCGACAGACGCAAATGTGTCACGTTTTCTGCACCCAGTACAAGGCTGGAATGTGTAAGCTGTACTGGAATACACAGTTTCCTTGCATTGACTGCAAATTTTCAATTCTCAATGATCCTAGCTGAAACAAGACGAATACCATATATGCCGTTGATAAAGATTAAGTAAGTAAGGTGAAGTATTTCTTGTTATCCTCTTTTGAAGAGATGCTTTTATGTTTCAACCAGAAACTACTCCCACAACCTTGCCACCCAAACAATGTCTGAACTAACAGATCAGACTTTACGAAATAACAAGACTTTTTAAATTCCTCCCTCTAGCAGTACGCTAACCGCGCGAAATACGTAATTTCAATGTTACTTAAATTTATTTAATGGCGAAGTTTCAACTACATAAAGTATGTAAAGCCAAACGAGACTTCAACAATGTCTTGTCTTCTGGGAGGTTGCACTGTGTAGTCTTCATGGTGCAACACCCCAGAAGGCATCTTCATACTTGTCGCCGTGAGAAGCTGAAATCTCGCCGAGATTTCAATGGTTAATCTGGTAGAGTCTGAAAAGTTATAACCGGAAATCGAACCGAACATACATCATGAAATCTTAAATATTGTTTATGTTTTAAGTGTACTTAGTAATAGAAAACCAAGAAATCTATAATCACCAAATTTCGATCGGTACACAGATTTTGGCAGGCCTGCTGTGTAAAATTTTGTTTACGAATTTTTACGTGTGTTTAAAATACCAATATTTCGACCGCCAGAGCCTGTCTGTGTAACAGCAGGCCTCGAATTCAAAGTCTACATTTTATGACAACGTAGATTCATGAAAACCGGCTGTTTGCTCAGACATCGTAATTGCCAATTACGTAAGCAGTATACATACAGACTCACTCAACCGAAACGCCTTAATTTGAACAAGAATGTCTCTCACAATAAGGTATGTTGCCTGCTTTATCATACAGATCTGAAATGACATTTTCCATTTATTTTTTCTCCTGTTCAGAGGGAAGCCAGATGAGTTCGAATTCCTCTCTAACATTTACAACATGAATCGGAGGTTTC